GAGGTGCTGAGGTTCTCAGAGGAGATGGGCATCTCCGACAGCCTTGGCTTTCTGGGGGTTAAGCCAAAATCCTGCTGGGCCAGATGACTCAGAGAGAAGGTAGCAGGGGAGCGCGGTGGCATGGGGGGAGAGGCACTGAGCAGTGACTCAGGTTCCCCCATCCCTTCCCACTTACACATCAGCACATTTATCCTGCGTTGCCATCAGCATCAACTGCATTCACATCGAAGGGGCAGGCTGGGATGGGAACAGGGCTGAAGAAGGGTATGCTGTGCGGAAGGGCCGGATCCTTGCCCACCACCAGAAAGGCTGCCTGGAGTTATCCCAGGGCAAGGAAACAGGGCAGGACTGGGACAGCATCTGGGACTGCACACTTGTTTAATAAGTGCTCCCTCTCCTGGGCCGTGGCCACACTGTCCCAGAGAAAATTGGAGTGCTTTGGCAAATTGGGAGGTATCTCAGGCTGGATAGACTCCTGGAGTGGGGCAGGGACCTTCCCTCAGCTCCAGACAGTCCCAGTTCCACATGGGAACTGCTCCCCAACTCCAAAAAGCCCTGGGCACTCAATGAAGATACCGTGTTTGAACGTCCCCATGCTGTCTGTGCCCACCAAGATACAGCATCATGCTCTCCCTGGATAGAAGCTCATCTTCTCCCTTAAGCCCGTCCCTTGGGGGCCTAAGAACTGGGGAAAGATTCTGGGAAGAGATTTGGCCATTCAAAATCATGCCAATACAGAGCCCAATGTGATTTAGAGGAATCGGCTATCACCAAGGGCGTTTTGTACTGTGCTGGGAGCTTCTGAAGGCCAGAAGGGAAAGTCTGTGTCAGCTTTCCATCAGCCTTCAACTCCAGGGGCTTCAAGGGCAGAGGAGATTTAAAAGAAAAACAATAAAATGCAGTTTTCTTCAAAGAGGAAAAAGGTGGAGGATGTACCTAAGGGATGAACAGAAAAGGTTTCTCCTGGATAGCTATGACTCAGAAATGGCATTTTCTATATTCTCATAAGGGATGTCAAGTCAGTGGTAATTTATTCATGGCAAGCTGATGCAGTTGCTATGGAGAGCATAATAGGAAGAAACTCTTTTTTAATGCATAGTGCGTTGAGGAGGAAAGCATTTGTTGAAGATAAAACCTCGGTGTGAGGATAAAAGTGACAAACGGTGATTAGGAACATTAAAAAAAAAAAAAAAAAAGCTGTCTGCAAGCACTTTCACCACAGCTGTGAGATGCAGGGTCTGATCTCGTCCTGCTCACCTTCCCTCCAGGTGGGCAGAGGACCGATCCCAGCTCAGGGTTTCCCATCCACCGGACACCAGCCCAGGAGGGTCCAGCACTCCGGGAAGCAGGTCTGCTGATGGGGTCTGTTGGTTTCGGAGCAGGCAAGAGCCAGGAGAGCACGTGGTTTTGGGTGATTCATGGGTTGGGTTCACCCGTCCTGTGGGGATGAGGGTGCTACAAGACAGAGGAGGGAGTCGGTGCAGATGCCCAGAGCACTGTGGTGCTGCATGGCGGGTTCCTGCGTGTCACTGGGTACTTAAAATTCAGGTCTCTCTCTGTTAGGCCAGCCAGCAGCCTTTTCACCTTCAGGGGAAAATACACACAAGGTGTATTTTCAGACCCAGCTGGTCACCCATGTCCTTCCCTCTCCAGCCATCACAGCATTTCTTCTCCCTCCATCCCAAACCTTCCTCCTCCAAGCACTGCTTTCTCTTCCTCCCCTCCTAACCATGAGGGCTGAGATCACCTTTGCTAGCTTAGGTTGTCCCTGTGTCCCCAAGATAGTGGCTGTTTGGCGCTAGTCCCCCTTTTGATTCCTTACTAATCTTTCTGATACAGATGCTGGACCCGAGTGTCCTCTCCACAGCAGAGCTGTGGCCGGGCAATGCAAGCATGAAGGGCTCCATCAGAGCCTGGATGCGCTGGGGATGACTGTTGGGTAATATGTGAAAGGGATCATCCTTGCAAACATGAAAGAGCCCAGAGAAACACTGGCAGGGGGGACCCCTGAGTGATACCCTGGCCCAATCGTGCTGGGGACCACCACAGAAAGCCATGAGCACATACAAACTTCATCAGCGCAAACATGGAGGAACTCAGAAAACAATGGCAGACTGGGGATCCCCAGTAATGTACCCAGACAGACACGGCCACCCTGTCCAGGCTTCTCCTGGGGTTGTCCCAGGAGAGGCTCAGCCTCATGCGCTACATGGGAAACCCATCAAGGTGAGTCCATGGGAGCTGCTCTCCAGAGCACCTTCCCAACACCCCAGCAGACATCACTGGTACCCTGGTAATGACAGGGCATCTCACACCACATCTTCTGGACTTAACAGTCCTGTCCTCAGCCAGCTCACTGTCTCATGCAGAAGATGACCCCCCTGAATAAAGTTTTTGGGACTCCTGGCCTCAAACAATGGCATCAGACCTGTTTGCTGCAGTGCACGTATTTTATGCTAGTCATTATGGCATTGTGATGACAAGGAGCGAATGTCACAAGGTGCTGTACAGAAGGGGCACACAAAGATCTCCAATCCAAGCAGCTCTGCTGCCTGCCAAAACAGGGGAGGTGGAGGCAGGAGCAGAGGGAATCCATGCGATAACGTTGGTGATGGCTGGTCTGTGGGATGCCACACAAGAAAGGCTGAGAGTGACACAAGTGATTTGAGCTTGGCTCTCTGCTGTGCTAAGCCAGTGGGCACTGCAGCTGCCCACTGCCAACACGTGGCGAAAAGGATGCGCAGGAAGGGGCTTCCCTGGGCACAAGAGTATTGGGAGATCCCCAAAACCCTCCTGAGCCGTCTACCGTTTGATTGACCCTCCTTGGACTCAGGCGCAACTTCTACTGATCAGTAAGAATAAAACCCGGTGGCGACTTCTCCTTCATTCATAAGCCTGCAGGCAGCAGTAGCTTTGCTCAGAGCGTTCAGCGTGGAAAGTGAGAATCCCACAGCTATCTACGGGGGAAGGTAAAGCCCCAGGGATTTTATTATGGGCTGCGCTTTATATCCTTGCTGCGGAAGGGCAGCACCTCCTCAGGAACAACGAAATACAGTGAAGCCAAAGGGACAGGGGCAGCCCCTCGGTGTTATATGTGCCTAACAAGCAGGAAGGTGGCTGATGACATCACTTGCTCCCTGGAGCCTGTCTGTCATTTGTGTGACAAAATGTCATATAATGGGGAATTCTCAGTCAGACTGGGAAGTCAGCCAGTGCTTCCCCTTGGAAACGTCTGTCTCCAATTATTCATAATGATAATGAGCTTTAATTGTTTGAAGTGCTGATCCTGGTGCCCAGCACCTGCCTCAGACTGCTCTCCCTAAAATTGTAGGGTTTTTTTAAATTTCAGACAGCACAGTTCAGCCACTGGAGGACAAGGACACACAGGGCTTCGCAGCTCTGCTTGTGTGAAAGAGCAGGCCACTGTCGCTTCCCAGACAGACTGCCCCAACGCCCAGCTCTGCAGCAAGTACTTGAAATTCAGATGTGCTGAGACCTTCCTGGTTGCTTGTCCAGTGGGTTCCCGTCCTCTGCTGGGGACCAGCAGCTCCTCCAGCCCAGGGGATGCAAGGGTGGGCAGGAATTTTCCAGAGAGGATCCCTGCCTGCTGGAGGAAGGGCTGAGTCCCCTCACCTCGCAGGCAGGCACAAGCCCCACTCCCAGGCAAGACTTGTCCCACTTCCAGGCAAGAAGGTCTTGCCAAGGTCCAGAAATTGCTCCAGAATACCAGGTTTAATGTCTGACCTGTCAGGATGGGAACAGCCCCATGATGACCTCGGGATGGACAGAGGGGAAGTCACCTGTCACTGACGGGACCGATTTGAACCTCAGTAATAAAAGCCAGGCATAGTCACTGCTTTGCCTTGGGTCATTTGTCTCTAAATGAAGCATCTCTCATATAACAAATGGTCCCTTCCTGGGCCATACATCTTCTTGCTGTTTAAAGTGCCAGACGGATCTGGCAGCCTTTCCCCAGCTCCTGCTGGTTTATAATGAGCAAGGGGTGACGTTTGCTGGAAAACGATTTCCCTGATGCAAGTCAGGGTTGTAACAGACGTGAAGACTTCTCCCCCTAGAGAGTCATACACTTTTCCACCAAGCCAGAGGTGTTTCAGCTTCAGTAGCTCACAGAAATGCTCTTGTATGTTAAGCCAGTGAGGAAGCCAGAGATTGACAGAAGCAAACATCAGAGGGTGAAATGTCCTGTGGAAGGAGCAGACCCCAAGGTCACCATCATCTGTAGGTTTTCCCCCACCTGGCCCATGAATACCACCCGTTTATTTTGGGCAATGGACCTCGTTCATATGCCTTGCTCTGGGGAAAAAATAAAACAAAAAAACCCATTTAATTTTTAGCGAATGGTAGACCTCAGACGCACACAGAGAAGGAACCATGGGCAGTACAGTGATCAAGCATCCCTGAGGACGTGCCTCAGTTTAACTGTCTTTCCATCTGGTGTTTTGAGAGAGAAGGAGCAAGCTCCTGCTGTGAGCTCTGAGACAGTGGGATGTGGATGTCGGGGGCACTGAAATACCTGCCCAAGACAGCAGAGATCACAGGACACAGGGGCTAGTTTTCAGCAGAGGAAGAACCAGAGAAAATGAGAGGAAGGGAAAGAAATCTGCATTTGTTCAGCTTTCCTTTAGTGCTGAAGAGTCCTGGTCCTGGGCACAGTGGTCAGTTCCCCTCACTGGCGTGGGGGCATCACCCTACTTCAGTTGCCAAGTAACCGCCCGAGCACCTTCCAACTGCCCTCGGCAACCGTTCCATGCCAACTGGCCACCAACAGCCGGTGGCCACAGGCACGACCGGGGCAAGGAAGGTCCTGGGAAAGCAGAGATAACAGGCACCCAGGGGCTCATCCCCTGCCTGGCTGCCTCTCCCATGCACCACTAAGCCCTCAGGCCTGCAGGGCAGCTCATGGGCTGACTTGGGAGAGGAGCAGTGCCGGGAGGACCTGGGCTCTTTGGGCCCTGCTGGTGGCTGGAGAGGTGGCCACCATGGACGACAAGGACCTGTTGGCCTATTTCCGCATGCAGTACAGGCAGAACCTCCTGACCTTGCTCAGGTGAGGGGGCTCCTCCACCCACCTCCATCTCCTCCATCCTCCTCTCCTGTCTCCTCCATCCCTCCTTCCCCCACCGCGGCAAACTCCTATCCCTTATCCGAAGGAGACTGAAGGAGACCTTCAGTCTCCTCTTGTACCTCCCTCCCCCAGCCCTGTTCCTCCCTGTAACACCCCCTTGCTCTGCCAGTGGGATCCCCGCTGGGGAGGGGTGGGGATGCCATGCTGCCAGATGGGATCTGAGACAGTGTTGGGTTGCTCTGCGTCTCAGGTGGGGTGACGGGGCAGAGCAATCCAACACCCTGCCAAGGTACTGGACCCGGTGTGTAACCCTGAGAAAAACTTCTGTGGCAGGAAACTCAGACTGACAGAGGAGGACTCCCTGTCTCCATTTATTCGCCTCCAGGAGAAGAAGAAACAAGCCCGACTGATGCAAAAGGCTCTGGAGGTGAAGGAAGAGGTGAGAAAGATGGGAGGGTGCTGGGGCATGGTTGGGAGGGCTTGTGGTTTTCTGGAGGGCAGCAGCAGGCAGGTGGCTGGCTCCAAGTGTGGGCAGGCATGTCGCGCTCGCTTTGATGCTGCCAGGCCTTCAAGGAGAGGATGAAAGTCATAACCTGCCGGTGGAGGGACCTCCACGCGAAAGAGGCTCAGCTGAAAACCTACATGGAGAAATCTGGGAGGATTTTAAAGGTACACCTGTCCCTGATCAGCTCAGCTAACATGACCCCACCACCTCCTTCCCTCCCTTGGGGAGACAGTCTTGGGCCACCACATCTGTCCAAGCCTCCCTTGAGCCTGGAGGTGTGAGGAACAGGACTGGCAGGGCACGGGGTTCTGTACCACAGATGTGGAAAGCCCTGGTAGGGCTTGGGCAGGAGAGAGCTTGTCCTGTACCGGTGTGATCTCCTGAGGGCCCCAAACATCCCCCAAGAAAGGTCTCAGCCTGTCCCCACTGTTGACACCCAGGTGTCTTCCAGGGACAGATACCAGTAGGTCTGAAAATCAGAATGCCATCCCGGGTGCCTGTCTCCAAGACTGAAGGGTCAATGCAAGAGGGCTGGCCCTGTTAAACAGGGAGTGAAAATGCTTCCAGGGGTGGTCCAATACTGGTCTCTCCTCTGTGAAGGTATCTCCTCCCAGTGCTGTTGAATGACTCAGCTCTACCTTCCCTTGCCTTCCTTTCCCTCTGTGTGTGTGTGTGTGTGTATGTGTGTTGGTGGGGGAAACATCACCAGGAAAATGATAAGATGCGAATCCAAGCTCTGAAGAAAGCCAGCAAAGAGAGAGAGAGGAAGATGCAAAAGGAGAGTGAGCTTTTGAGAGCTAAGAGGGAACTGGAAACCCTGAGAAATAAGCACCAGAAACTCTGCAACAAAGTGCAGAAGTACTCCATCTTCAACAAGTACCTGGAGGATGTGGTGAAGATCTCACAGGTGAGTTTGAACATGAGAGAGACGGATCATGGCCTCGACGAGGGCCTTACATGGGTGTTAAACCTAGAGGAGATAAGGCAAGTCCAGGGAAATCATAACACTTGGTCAAACCCAGAGACCTCAGATGGGGTGGGAAGAGGTTCCCTGCAACCAAGGTGAGCCAAGGGGACCAGAGTTAAGGGAGGAGAAACAGAAAAGGAGGTGAAGGCTTGAGAAAACCAAAGAAAAACTGTTAGAAGGGGGAAAAGCACAGGGCTGAGGGGAATGGGGACCCCTTTGTGTCACTGTTTCATGTCACATTGACGGTTTGGCACAAGTGAAAAGCTGCCCAGGAATGGGAACCCAGGCAGATGTCAAAAAAGCTGTGCCCTCTCTCAAGGATGCCCAGGCATCACTCCATGCATTGTTCATACTCCTGCAGTCCCAGCTGCCCCCCTCCCATGTCTAGGTGACTCGGCGCTGGCAGTTGCAGTTGTGCTTTGTGTTTTATCAGAGCATGGCTCACCTGGAGAAGAGATGCAATATCTCCCCTTGCTTATGGCAGTGACAGCTCTGGGACTGGCACAGTGGGATGTCGTCATACAGGGAATGTGGCGATGCTCACAAACCAGCTGGAGCAACGGTCTCATCAAGAAGGGAAGATCTTTCAGTGGGGGGAGGTGTTGTCCCTGGTCAGGGCAGGGTGCCAAACAGCACAAGACTTGCAATCATGATGAGGGGAGGGCAGGGGGATTACTAACACCAGGAGCCCTGTGCTGCAGTTTGAGGAGATCCAGGAAGTCATTTGGCGCTACAAGACCCTGGTGAGGATGCACAAGGACCTGCTGCAGGCACAACAAGGACACAAGGATATGTCTGAGCAAGCCAAGGTGCTCCTGGACCAGTACATGGCAGAGAAAGAAGCTGAGATCCTGCAGTACAAAGATGAGCTGGTGCAGCTCCAACTACGTTTTGACCAGGCTCAAAGTGACGTCCTCCCCTGGGTGAGGAAATGTGGGGCGGGCAGGGGAAGATCTCCAAGGCCTGGCTGTGTCAAGACCAGCTGATGGCTCATCCCTGAGCCATGGGGTCATGGCAAGGCCCAGTAACAGCCTTTGTCATTGGAGGAGAGGCCTAATTTCATCCCTCCAAGGGGCTGTTGAGTGAAGAATGACAGACCAGGTCTGGAGCAGGTTACATCAGGGGTTAAAACAAGGCCCTCACACAGCCATCATGATCTTTCACTTCTTGCTTGAATTCATAGTCAAAAGAGATGTGCTAACCAGGCTTTGGGGAGGTCTGCCTTGGCAAAAAACCCAAGCATACTCCACCACGTGCCCATTGGGTTTGTCTAGCCTGGTCATACTCATTTCCATTCACCATTCCTTGCAGCATCATCCCTGTAATGGGGCTTCAGTGTGGCATGTCTTGCGGTCTCCACTGTTCATGGCTTAGGCCTCAGAGTGAAGTTGGTTTTGCTGATTTTTATTATTTGTTTTCATCCTTTGCACAGCATCTGCGCACCAGGGCTCACCCCTTCTTCTCCCTCCCTACCAGCCCAAAAGTGACCAGACTGGTGGTAAACTGGGCTGTAATGAGGCGCATCCATGTGTAGCCAGTGCTCAGTGTGCAGAAATGGCCTCAGCGCTGCTGGCCTCTTCTCCCTTTGCATCACTGACAGGGCCTTGCCAAATTCCCTTATTGGATACTCCAGGCTCCAGGAGTTGGGTCCCATCAGGCAAAGCTGGAAAGCACCTGGTCTGGGAGGGTGGCAGCGGGATGTGCTGCTCCCAGGGTATCAGCTAGCCCTGCTGTAGGGAGTGCAAATGGGGCCTGCAGGGAGGACCCACCAGAGTGAGGACTGCAGGAGCTGGCAGAGAGATGGGGAGGTTCCTGGGGCAAGGAGCAGCTGTGGTGGCTCCTGGATCTGCTTCCACCACACCAAGCTGAACCACCTCCAGCACAGCCCTGAGCAAGGACAGGTTCTTCCTAGCAAAACAGATGACTGTGGAAGTTAACGGTCTCCAAGCCAGGGTCTCCAGGGCTGAAGCAGCATCTTTGCTGGGGCATGTCCCCATGCTGCATGTCTCTTCTCCTCTCAGGAGACTCGCTGGGCCGACACCCAGAACACGACTGCTGAGAAAACCCTGAAGCTGGGGACCATCAAGATGGCCATCCTCAACCTCTTCCAGTGCCTGAGCATGCAGCTGAAAGCAAACCTGAACGTGCCGGTGGATGACAGCCACAGACAGCTGAAAATGGTAGAGCCAAGCCAGACCCCTTCTCCCTGCCCAGAAAGAGGAGCAGTAATGACTCTCAGCTGCCCAAAGGGAGGGGAGAGCCCAGAGAAATCAATGTGCCCAACAGACATCTTCCTTTTCACCTGGGCTCTCTCTTGGGCACGGGAAAAGGGCAGAGCACACCAGGCAAACCTGTCTCATCCGACGACGCGGAGCAGGGTGTGGGTCCCTGCGGGGGCAGAAGGAGTGGGAGCCAGGCAGGCTGGGGCAGGGGATGCAGGGGATGCAGGGGATGCAGATAAACCCATGGTCAAGGTTTGGTTTCATTCACACTTGCCCTGAATGCAGACTAACCCAAAAAAGCCATTCTGGTGGTGCAGATCCAGCAAGGCAAATGCCTTATCCTCCTGCTCAGTTTGGTTGGTGAAATTTGCCCTCCAAAAGGGCCAACAAGCTCCCCTCTGCCTCCTGTTCCCATCCCTGCTCTAAGCTCTGCCATCTCTCTGCCCCACCCTAGATTCAGCAGTTTATCCAAGACCTCACAGACATCTCTATGGAGGTGAAACAGAAGGACATGCAGAACCACCAGTGAGCAGCTATACCTACGGAGCTATACGGGACATGCCAACATAACCTGCTCTGCCAGCAAAGGCTCAGCAGGGTGGGAAGGGAAAGAGGAGGACAGACGGCCCTACAGATACTGTAGGCTCCACCATAGGTTACACCAGTGAAGTTTCATACCTTTCTGGCTCTTCTGTCCTGCATAGTTGCTGACACCTTTTATACTATTAAAAATAACCAAATATTTTAAGCTGTCTCTTCATTTCCTGGGAGGATTGGAAACATCAGAGCAGCTCCATCCCACAGCTTCACCCCAGATGCCATTGGGGTGCCTTCTCTGGCAGGTGGGATTCTGGTTGCAGGAGAGAGTGTCCCAGCAAAGCATGCAAGATAGGGAGAGCGGGCTGGGACAGGAATATAGTCTCAAATAGCGATTAGTACTAGTGTTCGCATTTGGACGTCCCACTCAGCCTAAGCTCTAAGATATTTGAGAGGGATGTCACAACAGGGTGGGGGGACTGTGCTTCGGGAGAGCTTCAGGATTTTCTACCACCACACCCAGCACATCCGTGGATGTGGATTTCTCTGCACAGCCATGTGCTATGTACTAAAACTCACCTTCCCCCTCAAGCTGTTAGGGAAAGAGTGGAGAATGGATATAGGTGAAGGATGAACCAGCCAAAGCTATCGCACCAAGCATCTAGCTGTTCATCCTGAGTGCTAACATGATGAATACAAAACAAGAGGATTAAAAATGGCTCTGGAGACACGCTGTGGAGTTCAGGCCAGGCTCAGAGTCTTTTGTGGAGGACCTTTTAATGGACCAAGGACCCAATGACATAAGCTTACAGATTTTGAGGCAAGAGACCATTGATCACATGCTCTTGCTCCTTTCTCTCCAGTAGTTACTCCTGTCCTGAGCCAGTGGATTCAGCTAATGCACCCTCCAGAAGAGTCTGAGTCCAGTTGGTCCATGTTTATAATGCCTGGGGGTTGCTCAGGCACCTGACCCCTTCCTTCGAGCATGAGGAAGGCACAGATTAACCTCCTCCCTTCCCCAAATCTGTGCTTTCATGAGCGACAAGGAAAACAGATGCACCCCAGAGCTGGTGCTGGCTGCTTGTTTGGAAAGCAGAGGAAGAATGAGTTCAGGGTGGGAACACTTGGTGCAGAGTCTGAACAGAGGATGCTCCCTCTGTGTCTTTGCTGTTGCTATCTCTGCAAGCATGAATTCATAGGAATAAACTCAATTAGAAACACAGTACCTTAGGTCAGGTCTCAGCAAGAACTCATCCAGGAAACCCAATTTCCCTCAAGCCTCTGAGCTCAGACCCATGCCGGGTCCTGCACTTCGGCCACAACAACCCCATGCAGCGCTACAGGCTTGGGGAAGAGGGGCTGGAAAGCTGCCTGTCGGAAAAGGACCTGGGGGTGCTGGTCGACAGCCGGCTGAACATGAGCCGGCAGTGTGCCCAGGCGGCCAAGAAGGCCAATGGCATCCTGGCCTGTATCAGAAATAGTGTGGCCAGCAGGAGCAGGGAAGTGATCGTGCCCCTGTACTCGGCCCTGGTGAGGCCGCACCTCGAATACTGTGTTCAGTTTTGGGCCCCTCACTACAAGAAGGACATTGAGGTGCTGGAGCGTGTCCAGAGAAGGGCAACGAGGCTGGTGAGGGGTCTGGAGAACAAGTCTGATGAGGAGCGGCTGAGGGAACTGGGGTTGTTTAGCCTGGAGAAAAGGAGGCTGAGGGGAGACCTCATCGCTCTCTACAACTCCCTGACAGGAGGTTGTAGCGAGGTGGGGTCGGTCTCTTCTCCCAAGTAACAAGCGATAGGACGAGAGGAAACGGCCTCAAGTTGCGCCAGGGGAGGTTTAGATTGGACACGAGGAAAAATGTCTTTACTGAAAGAGTGGTTCAACATTGGAACAGGCTGCCCAGGGAAGTGGGGGAGTCCCCATCCCTGGAAGTATTTAAAAGACGTGTAGATGAGGTGCTTAGGGACATGGTTTAGTGGGCACGGTGGTGTTGGGTCGACGGTTGGACTCGATGATCTTAGAGGTCTTTTCCGACCTTAATGATTCTATGATTCTATGATTGAAGCTTAGCAAGTTACCATCCATTGGCAGAAAATGACTCTGTGCAGTGTCCTCAGTGTGATGCCAGTGCAGAAGAAAACACAATAGTGAAAGCCTCCATTGCAGAGGCAAGGGCAGTAATTGCTTCTCAGCTGCTATATGTGGAAGAAGAGCTCATTTCTTTCGGAAACCTTGACATGTAAATGCAGTGTGGGCCATGACGTGCCCTGTGTTCTTCTGAATAGATCCCCAGAGCTGTGGGAGGTGAGTGGCAGTTTGCATTTCAGCTGGCAAGGAGAAGTAAAAGCTGTTGCAACTTTGCAGCCACCATGTGCCTACACTTTAATGATCATATTATGTTCATTCTGTAAAGCAGGGATAATAACTGTCAGGGAGGGGCAAGAGTGGGCTGCTCCTCAAGGGAAGGAGCTAAGGTGACAGCAAAGCAGGCAGGAGGATGTCCTCACCAACAGGATGCAGCCCTGTGGTATGCGAGCAAGGGCAGAGAGGTTCATGGCTGTGTCCAGTGATTCCCATGCTAGTCTGCAGTGATGAGGCAGGTCCAAGATGAAGCCAGAAAGTCAAGTCAGCAAGGCAAGGTGAGAATCAGCCAGGTACAAGGCTGGGCACAGGCTTACCTGCAAGGCAAGGACCAAGGGCAAGGATCTAAGCATAAATGCAGCTCCCGAGCAAAGCAGGGGAAGCTCCAGTGAAGGCTCCACACAGCTCCTTCTCACACCTTATCTGTTTTTCCAGCAGTCTGATCCCAGATTACATGGCTGTCCCACACCAGGGTTGGCCTTGAGCACAGGCAGCCAGACCTCTGGCAAGCGGGGAAGGGGTCACAGAGCCCATGGGTGCACTGAGAGCCCTGACATTAACACCTCCTTGCAGTGGGCTGGGAGCCCCATGGTGCTGACATTTGCCAAGAGCTGTATTACTTCTTGTGGCAGGAGCCCAGGTTCATGTCCTATTGAAGTCATGATGAAACCAGTACTGTGGTCTGGACTCTTCTCTGCTTGGTCTGTATGTACACAATCTTTGCTCCAAGGACTGCAGGGTGCAAGGAAGAAAGAGACGCCCAGTCTGGGAGCAGAAACAGCATAGGGGAGCCCAGGGTCACCCAGGGGGTGAATGACAGAGTTGGGAGGAGGTCGGTTTCTTACCCATTGGGCATCCAGAAGGAGGGGTATTTAGTTGCCACATCAACAGAGTGGACCATGGCTTAGGGACAGGAGCTGAGGGCTGTGGGGGGATGCTCAGGGAGATAAGAGGGATGAAGAAGAGATGAGGCCTTTGGTAAAGACCCTACATGGGGGTCGTGGGTCTGCAGTGATTCCTTGCATGGGAAAAACTTCCCATAAATCCCAAAAGGCATACCCTTCCTGCTGCCATGCCTGGGCCTCCTTCCCCAGCAAGCAGACACCTTCAGCCTGGCTGTGCTCTCTGCCATGGCTGGGACTGCGGAGGAGGCCTTGAGAGGCAGGTGGCACAGAGCACTTCAGGCCGGTGAAAATCAGTTTCTCAATGGGAAGCAAATATATCTCTTTTTGTTTGCAGGGAGTGATCCAGTGCTCAGCCCTGGGACTGGGCCTCATGAGGAGCGTATCACCTCCTCGGAGACAGCAGCTCTCTGAGAGCCTTCACCCCACAGTCAGCAGCATCCTCAGATGCTGGCCTTCCTTGCTCTTCTGTGAGACCAAATACACAGCAGCAGATGAGAGAGAAAAAAACAAGCAGGAGAGAGTCAGCCTTGCTGAGGCCCTCAGGGGTCCCAGAGGTTGGTAAATGTCTCGTAGAGGCACTGGTGACGATACCAAGAGCTGCTACCTGCACTGGAAAAGTCAACTCATGACTCATCTGAGCAGAGACGATCTTGTGCGTTTGTGCCCTTGCATCTTGTCTCAGCAGTGACAAGGGGAAGGAGCAGTGACAAGGGACCAGGAGCATTTACACCCATCCTGAGAGGTGATTCAGCTGTCCCCTCTCCTTCCACCCACAGCCACCCTCTCACCCACTTTGACGCATCTCACTGGTGGCAGCTGACGGGAGCTAATGGGAGCTAATGGGCGAGGAGCAGCTCTGCCCAGCCGCTGAGGAAGACAGGGGGCTGCAGCTCTGAGCCTGCCACTCTGCGAGTGATGGTCTGAGGGCACAGCTGTCTCCAAGGTGGGCTTATGGAGAGGACAGACTGATGGGCCAGGTTTCCTGAAGTCCTTTGGACACTGAGTGCTGGCCAGTTTGGAGACTTGTCTCTTATCTGGATGCCTGAGCTGAGCTGTTCTGAGGAACCTTCAGCATGGGACAGAAAGACAACGAGACACATTGGTCCAGCCAGGCACTTTCTGATCTGTTTCAATGTATTTTCTTCCTTTCATTCAGCAGACTGGGCCTGGCAGTGTCCATATGTCAGCCAGTACATCACGCTCAGCATGTCCCTTACAGATCTACTCAAAGGCCAAGCTGTAGGAAGACCTGTGCTCCTGACTGGTCCTGATGTCCTGTCTGCTCCCGCTGAGCCCCAGCAGCCCTCACCATCCTGAACATGAAGCTGCAGCATGTGTGGATGCTCCTCTGCAGCATCATTTGCTGGAACTGTTTGTTCTGTTTCCCCATCCATGCACCTGCACAGTGAAATGCCTGGTTTTAGAAAGTCAGAGACCAACAATTGAAACTTGAGGGCAGATTTTGCCTTTTCTTATGCGCCATTTGTGCCGCACCAGCAGAGCAAAGATAGCAGATCACCCCAATGCAAAGTCCTTACCCAGGCATAAGTAAGCCATATTCAAGCCCCAAATTGCTGGGAGGCATTGCAACTAACTCTTCTTCCTCCATAGAGCTGAACAGATGGCATTGCTCCTCAGATGCAGCACTGTGACCTTCTGACCAGCTGAGCGAGCTCTTGAAAAGAGACAATGTCAGGCTGTCCACCACAGGGATCGCAGACAAGCTAGT